GAGCGGTAGGCAGTCACCGCCATGCTCCGAAGAAGGCCTTGCCCCGTGACGGCCCCTGTGATACAGGCAGACAGACAGACACACACCGAGATTAGGGTGCAGCTGAAGGCCCCTCACGCTGGCCAGCACAGCCTGCAGCTGCGCGTGGTGCATCTCCATACCAGTTAGCGACTGTTCTGATTTCCGCGTCTGCTGCGCTGTCGTCATCCTAGAATGGACTACTTTTTGCAAACCTTGCTGTAAAAGCGTACATGCAGAGTCACAGAGACGGCGTCTCTTAATTGAGCGATGAGCTATCGATCTAATTTTGTGGGAGTGTGCTCTGTTTGCAAAATGAAGATTCAGTTCCTGAGATGTTTCACAAAACACGTCCCCATGTTAAGTGACACCCACCTGTATTAGGGTAGGTGCTCATTTAAAGTATTGGCAAATATTGATATGATAATGACATACACTCGGAAGACCTGCTGTCCATAAAAACAAATAACATTTATCAAGAATTTAACTCTATTCCAGGCCAGTGTTGGAACCTTTTAGAGTTTCAGTAACAAACAATAGGCTGAGGCACTGTGCCAGTTCACAGCCACTGTTCTAGGCCATGGTTTCCTCCTGTTCAGTCTTCACAAACATCACTAGAAAGTACGTTCATGCAGGCAAGGCCTTTTGTGTTTTGCTCATTCCTGTTGCTGCTACCTAGAGCAGCTCCTCGCTGTACAGTTTGTGCATATCTATGACTATGTAAACTATTACGTACACACACAGACATATCAGTGTGTGGCATGGCTTCTGTTACTAGCTTGAAAAGAGGCAGTGTAACTTGCCTTGTACATGCAGGAGCTGGATTTGAACCTGTGTGGTCTGGCTTCAGAACCTGTGCTGTCCAGTGCCACTGTTTCCTGCTGCCCTTGTTGCTTACTCAGAAGAGTGAACTGGTAAAGGGATGTGATGCTCCAGGCAGGGCCGCCTCCCTCAGCGCTGATGCCCTTGTGAACGGCTCTGTGATATGGAGGGCTGTGCCGTGTGTTGTAAGATGTTTGCCACATCCGTGCCCATGTCCAGTGGATCCAGTAACAGTTCCCCAGTTAGGGAAATGTTCCTGAGACCTGGCTGAGAACCACTGCTCTGCACCTCCACACGTCCTGGAGGGCTGTGTGCAAGAGCAAGCGCCTGGTGTCGTGTGCACAGACTGGCCGCCCACTGTCTACAGTGCTCTGCTCCTTTTCTTTCATGAAGGACAGCGAGTCTCTGGCAAAGAGTTTTTAAAGTAATCCTTTGCTTTAGTGTCTATTACAGCTTCAAGTATATTTTCACTAATACAGTGGCTTACTATCATGTAATTTAGTAGTAGAGTCTTTCTTTATAAACACAACAGGTGCATTCCTAAAAGTCTCTCTCTGTGGTATCAGACAATAGAAAGCGCAGTGCTGGAGGGGTAGCAGCACTGGGAGCACACTAGTCCAAAACCTCCTTGGTACCCTGCTGTGATGGGACATCCTTGTGCTTCCAGCTGCCCAGGAGGCTGAGGCAGGAGCTTTGCAAGTTCGAATGCAGTCTGAGGCACATAACAAGGCCCTCTCATAAAATAAAAAGGGTAGGAGACATAGCTCAGTAGCCCCTGGGTCAGTCCGCGGTACTGCAAGGAAAAGCAGAGCAAAGCACCAGAAATCAGACCCATGAGCTGTGCTAGCTGATAGCTGTCTGAGGTGCATGCAGATCCATATTCTCTGAGTCTTCCATGGCTGGGCCGAAGGGTGCAGCCTTCTGCATTCACCCAGTGTTTCTCACAAAATAATTCATAAGCAAACCCAGTTTATATGATGATCACATCGTGCTTTAATGTGTGAATCACCTTGGAACATTTCCTAGCAAACACATTTGCAGCAAAACTGATGATATTCTTGTTGAGAATTTTGAAGCCTTTCAGAAGAGAAAACAATTTTTTTAATTAAAAAAAAACTAGTTAACTACAGAGAAGTATGGCAAGGATAGAATGAAAATATACAGCTTGTACATAATGCAGGGGCAGATCTTGGTGGAACTGAAAGCTGGGAATCACGAGCCGCCACACTCCTCCTTGCCCAGGTACTGATGCAGCCAAGGCCTAGCAGCAGGCCAGCTGCCTCCCTGGTGTCGAGCGCCAGCTCCGTTAAAAGAATTCCACCTATTAACGGGGCTGGTTCCATGGCAATTTCATTTATTGGCACTCAGTATTTGTTCAGCTCATTCTTCGGTTCACTGAATGATTTAGAAATACATTTGCCCTTTGCCATCGCAGTACTTTAAAATGCAACATGAGTGTAAAATGCAGTGTAAATGCTAACATGACAAAGAGAATGATTTTTAAATTTAAAATAAATTCTAAAGTATACAGAAGCCTGTGTAAAAACACATTTATGCAGCCTGTGCCGAGAGGACTCACAGTCCTGTCAGGTGGTGGAAAATTGCTGCCTTTGAGCAGTTAAAGCTGGGGTTGACATTTAGGTTTATCATAGTTTTAATTCACTTTTGATGTAATGATTAGAGAACCATACTCTGATTTTTATTTTGTTGGTGTTATTTGTTTTAGTTAATGGTCTTTTAACCGAAGCAGAATCTGAAGATTTTTAAATTTATTTCTTTTACTTTAAGGCACTGCAATTTTAAAAGTGCTTGAGCTGGGCATGGTGGCACATGCTTGTAATCACAACACTCGGGAGGCTCAGGCAGGAGGATTGACACAAGTTTTAGGCCAGCTTGGGCTACATACTGAGTTCAAGACCAGCGTGAATTACAGAGCCAGATTCAGTCATTCATTCATAGACAGAATGAATTACAAATCAAGCCCCATCATTCATAAAGATAGATGGACAGGTAGATAGTCCTTGGACACTGAAAATGTCAGTTTCGTTGTAGTAGCATTTACTTTTGAGGAAAAGAATATTTGGGCTATTTGTTTTTACCAGTACTGGAGATTGAACCCAGGGCTTCTTATTGAGCTATATTCTCACCCATTTTATTTTGAGACAGGATCTGTCTAAGTGGCTAAATTGCTCAGGTTTGGGCATCATCCTGCCTCACCCTCTCAGAGGGCAGGCTTACAAGGCGTGTGCCACCACGCCCAGCTCATTCCTGGTTTATATGCGTCCACTTCCCGCATCTGCCCTGCCTGTGGGTGCGCAGAAGGTCAGACGCTTCCATCCTGTCGTCCTGCACCCCCGCGGAGCCGCGGTTAGGAGTCACACCTCGGGAACATGCAGCGGTAGCATCGCCAGTGTTCCTGTCAAGAAAAATGACACAGCGTCGGGGAATAATGCAGTACACAGGGGCTTTTTCTTTTCTTCTTGCAATATTGGTTTTTATTAAAAAATTGTATACCTCTGTTTGTCTACCGTTCCCTGGACTCCAGCTCTTTAAGGCTCCGCCTCCCTCAGAAGCAGCCTGGCCTCCCTTCTTCCCTGGAAGGTGTCCAATCCCTGCCCCAGCTATTGCTCCTCCCCAGGTGCTCTCCCCTCTCTGCCTCTCTCTCTCTCTCTCTCCCTCTCTGAGTAAAGACACCCTCCCTGTGTGGTCCTCCAGTGTGAGTACCTAAGTATTTTTCACTTTGCTCCGGAGGCTCTGCTATGTTTCTGTTTTCTACTTACTGTTTATTACATAGACTCATAACCCTCCTGAAGCCTTAGTGTTGTTGCGCTTAAGTCAGCAGGTAAGAAAGTGATCTGTGTGCTTTTTATGTACTGAAAACAGTACCACAGATATCCAAACCCAGCAGCTTTTAATACCTATTAAATTCCTCTTTAAACAGACCAAAGCACAGGAGCCAGGTAATTTTTAGTAGTCCTGTGTGTGTTCGGCCATTTCATAAATAACAGAAATAACAACTGTGGCCCAGGAATCACTCTGCTCCAGTACTCACTATGTAATTTTAGAAAGTTATATCTGTACCTTTTATACGATTTCAGTTTTGTTTAATGGGTAAGATTTCAGAATACTAAGCTACAAGTCAAAAGGAAAAAAACTGAAGTGTGTACCAGAGAGCTTTCGCATGTGGGTGCCCACTTACATTGCATTGACAGAGTGGGGACTTTCAGGTTCCAACCTGACTGCTTTCTCCATGACCAAAGCACATTTTCTAAGGTCAGGCAGCCTGATGAGAGCTCTTTCTAGCAGGTTACTTTATGGAGTGACCTAACAGGAAAATTATTAATTTATAGATAACAGAGTACGTAATTTACCAACATAGTTTGCATACTTTGGGGCATTTAATGTTTTCACTTAGTCTTTTTTCTTCTCTCATTTCAAGAAAACAGTAAGGAATCTAATCTTATAACTCAACATAAAAAGAATATTTCCTAGATAAAGATGTTATTCTCCAAAAATAGTCATCCTTCAATTTGAAGGAAGCACAAGGATTGTTTTAGTAACATAACAAGAATGTTTTTCAATAAACATAACAAAGATTATTCTTTCTCTTCATGTTTCTACATTTATTCATATGAAGATCCTTTTGTAGGCAGATTAATGCAAATCATTGTTTTCCCAGGGTAACTTCTATTTTTTAATGCACTGGGGCCCCAGTACTGCTAGATATATTTTTCCATATATGAATTTGGAAAAATTTGTTAGATCTTTAGTGCACTGAAATGGGGCTATAAAATAATAGATACAGCTAAAACTCAAACTTATTTTTCAGGCCCACCTATGAAATGTAAAATATACTTATTGTGAACCAAATCAACACACCTTTGTTTATAAAATAATGAGAAGAAAGAAATAGCTCAGAGGAAGTAGGAGTGAATTTAGTGGTATTGCAGAGCTGTAAGTAGCATTCACACAAATATACACCTACATCAGCGAGTAGAAAAGGTATTCTAGGAATTTCATCAGGTTGTTGGTTTGAATTTCATCTCCTTTGTTCCATAACTTTAATGCTGCAGAAGATAATGAAGAAATGTGTGTTTTGCTTTCACAGTATTAGAAAAGCATTTGTGGTGCTACATACTCTTTTTTATTTATTTTTTCAGCCATAATGAAAGGAAAGTGACCTGCAAACACCCAGTCACAGGACAGCCATCGCAGGACAACTGTATTTTTGTGGTGAATGAACAGTAAGTAAAGTTTCATAGAATGGCTGTGTTTAAAATGAGGTTTGTATATGCACTTGCAGTGATCCATATTTAATGTAGCAAAATATAATATTTTTCTAGTCTGGACATTGCAGTCAGTTAAACAGAATGCCAGCTGCTCGCTGTGTATGTCATTGAAATGTGACTTTAAAAAATTTGTTTTCATGAGAAATATAATTTCAGAAGCTAATTTTCATGAGAGTTGAAACAAAAGAAATAAGCTCTCAAACCCAGGATACAAGTTAGAGAAACTATAAACTTGTTCACAATACTAAATTAATTTGAATTCAATTTTCTTATCTTTAGGATAGTTGTAATTACCATTTCCCAGGATTTTGTTTTTGTTTTTGTTTTTTGAGACAAGCTCTCACTATGTAGTTGAGACTGACCAGGAACTCACTAGCCCAGGCTAGTCTTGAACTCACAGAGATCCTCCTGCCTCCGCCTCCCAGTGCTGGGATTACAGGGTGCACTGCCACACCCGGCTCCCAAGATTTTTGTAATCATTCAGGGAAAGAGATCTAAAGATGTTTTTGTTTTTGCAGTACTACAGATTGAACACAGGGGCGCTGTACCACTGAGCTACATACCTAGCCCTTTTTATTTTTTATTTTAAGTCAGGGTCTCCCTAAATTGTCCACAGTTACCTTGAACTGTTTCAAACCTCCTGCTTCAACCTCACAAGTAGCTGAGATTAAAGGATAAAAATGTTTTATAAATTATAAATCTATTCACAGATAATAATTTGATACTTTTAATATTAGAATAGTTGATCTTATAATTCTTTTCTGACATTGAGACTTGAACCTAGGGCCTCACACATGCAGATCATACACTACCACTGAGCTATATTCCTAACCCCTTTTAATTCATTTTTAATTTTCCAGTTGGATGACCAAGTAGAATACCTATAGCAGTGCTATTAAAATAAGCATGACCCTCAAATGCTGGGATTCAAGTGGGTACCACCATGCCTAGCTATGGCCGAAGTGTTCTAAATGCTTAACATAGTTGCAGATACTACTTTAGAGTATCTCATATCTAATTCTTTTGAGAGATAAAAGAACACCTGCATAGTTAACTATAGGGGAAGCATTACTAAAATAAAAGTTTAAATATAGCAACTCCTAGCTTTTCATCTATTATATTTTTAGGACTGTTGCAACAATGACATCTGAAGAAAAGAAGGAACGACCTATAAGTATGATAAATGAAGCTTCTAACCATAATATGTCTTCAGATTATGCAGTACATCCAATGAGCCCTGTAGGACGAGTAAGTTACTTTGCTTACTGTTATTTATTGATAAGTGGTAGCTAGTATCTGTTGTTATTACTCATAATAGACTTAGAATTATAGAATAATCATCACATTTTTGTTATTACATGGATTTAATTATGTTAGAAGTAATTGATTTAAGGGGCAATTGCTTAAAATTTAAAGTAATACGATTGTAACTTAATGACTTTTAAGTACAGGGTTCAGATTTTGATAATTTTGCAAATACTGATGTTTGCATGAGTCAAGGGCACTTTCTTGAACTAGCTTGATTTAAAGGGAAAATAAATATAATAACCTCGAAATAAGATTTTCTTATGATATGAAAGCCTAAGGTGCAAGAAACATGTATTTTATAGTAGTAAAACAATTGTAATAAATGATGATTATTGTTAGAAAATGGATAATAGACAACTATAATATCATTCAAGTGCCTGTCGAGATGTTAAATAAAATTTTGTAGAATATTGCAAGTCAATAAATTTTCAAATAACATTAATACATTAGTAACACGTGATAGCCAACAGTATAACGGAGCACAGTGCTTACCGTTCTTAAATTAAGATCTAGAGAAATGATAGGATAAATGGGTTGAGGCCCACTGAGTCATTGTCTAGAAAGAAAATTGGACCTGTGCTTCTAATTTATACCCATATCCAGATGGATCAGTTATTGAAATGTTGAAAACAATCTTATAGAAGGTTAGAAAAAACAATGCGTGATTGAAAAGAAGAAGCAGAAGCTGCTCAGTGCAATGGGCTTCAGAAATATGACACAAAACCCAGACGTAGTAATGTAAAATAATGAGATAATGAACCACATATAATTATCAGTTATGTAGAATATCCTAAATTAACATAACAATGAGTCATTCCTTTAAAATTAAAGAGCTGCTGTAAATCAATAAGAAAAGGGCTTATGACGGGTTTTTTTTTTCCAGCTTTGAGTTTATTGGTACATTTTAGGGATACAGTACAGTTACATTCATTGGAAAAATGTGAGAGAATGAAAAGATGAAAATAAAGTGTTTGTAGATGGGGAGGGGAGGAGGGGGTGAAGGGAGGGCAGAGGTAAGGGGAAAAAATGAGAAGACAGTTTTTAAATAGGCAATTATATAAAATCAATTCTCAGTAAAGGAAATGGAACTTATTCTTTAAATTCATGGAAAAGAGTTTCAGTCTCATGAGAAAAATGTTAGTCACAACAAGAAAAGACACCATTTACACCTACAAGATTTACGCAGGTCAAAAAGTTTGACAGTGGTGGAGGCAGATAGGCATTCTCTTTATCTAGTGAGCTCCAACAAGGAGTGGAACAGAAAAGTGGGTTTTGTGTGTGCAGCCAGGTGAGAAAGGTACTGTACTGCATAACTACGAGGACTCTGCTTTTAGATGTACAGACATGCGCATGCGCACAGCGATGTTGGGCACTTCAGTGTGGGAATGCTGGATGCTGGGGCCTGGGCCTGAGGAGTAGGTGGCCCGTATCTTCCCATACCATTGAGCTTTGTTGTACCTAAGTATTATCTGTTTAAAACTAATTTAGGGAAAACGTTGTTGACTTTGGCCTTCAGTTCTATTGCACACTAACAAAAGCTTCACCAAAAAAAGTCTGATGAAATGCACTTGGCTTTTCAGAGGTTTGAGATAAGTTGAAAAGTAAGAAATAATTTGATACTACTTACCCCTTAGAGAGAAACTCAAAGTCAGCATCATTGTTTTTGTGTTTGCTGATTACCATTGCCATTCCTGCCAAAATAAATCTTCATGGTGACTATGGCAGTATTTTAAAAGACTACGTGTCCTATGTGCGCCCCATCTGTCGGACATCATTTACGTTCAGAGTTGTCTACAAAGAAAATAACATGTATGACATTAGGTGGGTTCTTCCGGTCTTCTTTGACTTGATGTGATGTGTTTGTTTACATTGAATATCTGAGTAGTTCTCCTTGACTTAATGCCGTTAACTGTCTTTAATTAAAACACTATTGAATGCAGATACAAAACAAAAAGTTCTACCATTGGTTTATTTTTAATTTATCAGTTTTTACTCAGTCTCTTCATTTTATATAGCAGATAGGACAAACTACTGCTACATACTGTGTCTTTTAAAAATTGTATATCCAGATTTTAAAGGGTTCTAAACTTTATGATCTCTTTGTAATATCCTCAGGGAGAATGCTTTGTATAGCATTCTTACCCTTGAAACAACCCAGCCAGCAAAAGTGGGTTTAATAATTTCTGAAAAAAGATGTTATTAAAAAAAAACTAACAATCAGGCCAATTCTCTGGACATTAATAACACATTTTTCTGTCACGCTCTTTTCTGTTTAGACTTCACGATCTTCAAAAAAAGTGCATAATTTTGGAAAGAGGTCAAATTCAATTAAAAGAAATCCTAATGCACCTGTGGTCAGACGCGGTTGGCTTTATAAACAGGTATTTCTTTCTCTCATTTGATGTGAAGCAAAGGGCAAAATCAAAAGAAACCTTCTGGGCTGAATGTTGCTAAGACAATTATATAAATGTATGTGAAGTGGAGAAGGAACCACAGAACAGCCACCCAGATTGTTTGACTTCTGTTACCTCTGAACAATGTCAGAAAAACAGTAAAGACAGAAAAGGGAGTGACTGTTCCACAGAACAGAGATTGCTGGGCATGTTTGTAATATGTATTTTTAAGTTTAAAATTAAATATATTCTGCGTCTTAGGAATACTGTGCTAACATTATCTCAGTAGAAATCTGATAATACTTGGAGATTTTTATGACTCCTTTCAAAGTTTTGGTTCTGTACTCTAACCTCTCTTCTGAGGTTTTTGTTCTGTCTTTTTTTTTTTTTT